CCACCGATAGATCGTATTCGACTTGCTGCACGACGCCGTATGATGAATATACAACTTTAGAGAGCCAGACGCGAAGGCCAATTTACTATCCAAGTTCGACGTTGTTACCGCCCAGTGCTTCATCACACGATTCGAGAGATTATGTCGAATCATCAACACAGGGTGGTAATACGTTTGCCTTCGAAGTGAATCGCGTTTTTACTACTACTATGAATGATATTCAAAATTACGATAGCGATACGAGGGATACGACAGATTTGTCATCGGTCTACGACAATTATTTCCCATTGGACGAGTACGAAAATAGAAATAAGATCGGTGGCTTTCAAAATAACACGGCAAGGACCTTCCAACCTTATGGTAAAAATGTCAAACCGATTGGCGCTACACCTATAAGCAATTACGTGGCGTCGTCGACGATGGCATCTTTTGTGAATTCTGGGAAAGGAACGACTTCATCTAGCAGGGGTAGAGGCTCGGCCGGTGATAAACCCATTCAAAATCTCACACCGCCTCCTTATCATCACCATTTCGGTAATGTGAAGAGTTTCACCGCGTCAAATAGCATTCTGCCGAATCAGGTGGTGCGCTCAACGACGCCTCTATCGAGAAGCAAACCCTCCTATCAGACCGTCAGCACCACCGTTCAACCATTCAGGATACGTTACTACGAATCAACGACAGCGCCGTCCGAATCTCTTGCCACAGCTCGCAGTTCGTACGCGAAGTTCAGAAACAATTACAAGTTGGAAAGTAATCACAGAGAAGGTACTCGCAAGCCTTTAGCGACAACGACGGCAACGACAATTCGGAACAACATGGAGACACTAGATCCCATTACTGCGACCATCAACGACGCTACTCCATATACTGCTACTGTTATTCGCGCTACTAATAATCCGACGGATGCCTCGACCACGAGACATTCCAACCTACTGAATGATGATCATTGGACTTCTTCGCCTATGGTCACTCAGCTCTGGGAAACAACGGTGTTCGTAGATCCTCAACATATTAATCACGGTCTACAATCGAACGTTGGCACTACTCAGTTGCCTGACACAACTGATAATGCTATTAGTGAAGAATCAGAATCCACTGCGAGTACTGCAAGATCGTCGAAATTGTCCTCTGTAGATCCCGACGTAACAACGGAATCACGAACAACCAGCACACCGAGTCCTTGGCAATGGGCGACGAGCGACAACGATCCACCCGTAACGTTTACTCTGTTACCGACAACCTTTACCGCAGAAAACACGGCGACGCCAACTCCAATTATCACGACGCGATCGAGCATAACGACCACGATTACTTCCTCGGTGACATCAACCAATGCCGTCTCCCGGGACAATTTGGCATCCACTTTGCTGCCACTTGCGCACGGCAATGCGTTGAATGCCACCGAAAGCGAAGTGATCAAGGCGCACGAGATGTTCGGTAACTTGAACGAGACGAGCTCGAACACACTGATGCGAGTGATGAAACAGGCTGATAACAATGCAACGGTAAGACAATTAGTTTTATTGCTGATAAGCCATTGCAATGGTCCCAGAAATAAGACGATGGAACAGGAAAAGGAACAATTGTTGGATGCACTTCTGAGAATGCCCGTTAATGAATTCAGTTCGGAAGAATCGCGAGAAATCATCGCTGGCATCAACAGACTTAATTTTTCGATTCGTACGTATTACACTATTTAATAATTATAATATCTATTTATAGAATGTTTTATGAAAATATTTTATCTTCGAATATCGCATTAAAAGAATGCTTTATTTGAATAAATAGCTAATAAATAAGAATAACGAATATATTTATTATCGTCGACAATTAATTTTAATTGTGTAACAATTGTAAACAAATATTGTGTAATAATTGTAAACAAATATTATACACAAATATAATATTTATAACATACATATCTATATTGAATGTAGGCTAATATATTTAGCGAATGTGTGCAAGCGAATGTTGGCATATATCATTTAGCTATATCGTTTGGAGGAGCTTTAATAAAATTAATCTTATTATTAATCGCTTTAACGCAGAAAAGACATAAAAATACAATCTTCTAAAAAGATAAAAAAAGGCAAAGTTTCTTGTTTGTGATACGATTTAAAAAATAGTGTGTGAATTAAAAAAGCAAGATCAACAGCAAATTTTTTAAGCTATTGGTCTTGCTTTCTTAATTCACATATTATTTTTTTAAATGCTTTGCTTAAAATACATGATTTTATTACAAAAGACATTATTTATTTTTCCAGTAAAATTCTGTTTCTTTAATATGATATTTCTTATTTTTAATATTGCTTATTTTAAAAATACAACATTGCCCATTTTACACAAAAAATGGTATATGTTTCTTTAGCTAATAGTTTATTAGAGACACAAAACAGATTAATTTTTTATTTATTGCTTTACAGCTAAACCACGATCGGTTGTTTTATTGAATTCCACGACGATAAGGACTCCTCGAGCATCGTCTACGAGACCCACGCCATCTTCACCATCTGTCACAACATTCCGCAGTAGGACGGGACGAAAATTCCGTACGACCACTGAGAGTGCCAAAGCTTTTGCTAGAAGATCAGATGACGCTGTCTTGGAGACGAATAATTCTTTGTCGGAGGCTACCGCTTCTGACAGCCGAGCTCTCGAACTTCTCAGGTCGCTTTACACGGTAGCCGCTAAATGGGGCTGAGAAGCCGCACAATCGACGACCGATCGGAACTACGCGCGCGTCGGAAGACTCGCGAGATGAAGATCTCGCTGGAGTATCAGAAGACGTCCACCTGTCAATACATCGGAGTAGATCGTTGCTGTCATCCATCATTGTGTCACTCCGTCTAGCCTAAATTCGAGGATTCAAGCTCCGAACGGTGAATCGGTTTTGATCTTGGCCCATGAATCGATGTCCATGAATAAACAGAATAAACCTGCTCTGCGTTTCTTCAGGAGAGATACGGAACTTCTTATCAAATATTCTCATTAGAAGTCAACAACATTAAATTATTATTAATTCTAGAATTCCTATTGAATTTGGCTGCTATATTAATACATTTGCATGCAATAATCGGAAAATTAGATTTCGAGTCGAAGATTGGCTTCTTCGAACTTAGATCGATAACGCTGCTGCAAAGTTTGATTTAACTTAGGGCCGAGATTGACACCTGCGCTTGCGGATATTAAACAGATTGTGTAACGATCGATTTCGGACATGTAAATCTGAGCTGCGGCTGCTTGATATCCGCGACCGAGCATAACTCGTATCGGTTAATATGCGGAGTCCCGATCGATCATCGATCGATAAGATCGCAATATAATAATTAACCGGCTGTAGTCCGACGTTAAGATTATGTATTGCTCGCCGTCCTTTTTATTAAGAATAAAACATCGATCGCCTCGTAACATCGGCAACTATTACTTGAAGAAAAAAAAAACGCCTGCCATACTTCGTCCCTCCTGTTCATTGACTTGCGTGAACGCTACACTCAACTTAACTCTCTCCTATCTATAATCAAAGAAGTTCGCACATATTAACAAGGTAATTTTATATGCGTTTCACTTGTGTTTATCATGCAATGATATAATAACAAAGTTTCTCTAAATGCTTCTTCTTTATGTAATTTTATGAATTATTAACTGACTATAATCGTGTTACATAGCATAATCTTGTGCTATGCTAGATGCTGTCCATATGTAGTATCTGTGTTTAGAAAAATTCATTTTATTATTGGAAAATAATTTGATAAACAATTTTTAATGTTTTGATTTTGAAATCTTCTGAATGTAGTTAGAATATAGATACGACTACGTATTTGAAATGAGAAGCGAATTTTAATTATTGATATATAGAATATGAGGGATCTTCTTTATTACATTAATTTTTTGTATTCCTATAATAGTATATGTACTTGTGTAAAACAATGATTGTCTTGCATGCCGATGTAAAAAGGGGGTAAACATTTTGATACGTTCGCGCTCATCTTGTGTTGCCAGGTACATCGTTAAATTGCAACTCGTTTTCGTTAAATTGCATGCGAAATTGACAGAATGTGATGGCACATGGTGAATTGCACCGTGTATACTTATGGTTATCCATTCTGGTTGGACTCTACGTGACACAATTTTAATCCTTTCTTTACGTATCTTCCCCCAACGAGATCACTATTATCCTTTTTTGAAATAATTTCCGAGCGATATTAATTTTTACCGGCAGCATTTAATTAATACTCGGCGGAAACGTACGTATTTCCGTTCCAGCCGAAAACTATTCAGTATTAAAAAAAGACTCCCTAGAAGGGATCCGCTCAGCTTTCCGGCGGATCATGCGAAATTATTTATTTGTTTTCGCTATGTTGCGATTCCTACGTACCTACGGCTAACAGTAAGTTACTTATATCTTGAAATTACGGTGTTGGTAACATTCTCTTTCATTTGGGCAGTTTCGAGGTCGGCGATGCGCTTCCGTTGCGATCCCGAAACGTCCAAATGGGGTTTCTAGGTCATTATTTAAGTACGCGAGTTAGCGTGTAGTTGTGTATCTACTTTATGTAATATATCTTTGTACAGTATGTGAATAAATATATACAGGGTTTTGTTTAGCTACGTTCTTCCTGTTACGTATACGTTCCTTATAATACTTTGATGGATGCTTCAATTTTTTAATAATACTTTTCATGCTAAAATACTATTCGGACGCATATTTAGTATTTTATTACCAGTGTTGTTTAAAAAAAGACACATATGTTGCATTTGTTGCATTTATGTATTCTAAATTATTAAATATTAAATAACTTACGTTTGTATCTTAGTTTAATGATACTTGGAAAAAATGTAGATATATATTATAAGATTTAATTTTGAGATTACAATATGATTGAATATTTTAATGTTACATAGATAATGTATCATAGATTATTTGTACAAAATAATATCATATTATTAAATTAATAACAGGTATAATTAGTAAATTTATAATATTTTCTATTTTTAAGAATTTCAATAATTTTACTGGATAATTCGTCATGTATATGAATATTTACTTTTGCTGAAAAAGGAATGTTTCATCGTTATTATCATCGAAAGTAGGACGCGAACTATTAATTTTTAAAGAAATCATTTACGCTTGATATATATATAGATTGCTACAAATTTTTGCGACAACATGTCAATAACTTACGCAGAGTAATGAGCATCATTAATGTTTTGGAGGGGGGGGGTCCCTCCGAAAAACGAACATGGGTAAATGGCTACGGTCGTCAATGATTGCACAAACACCTAGAAAATAGAAGGGTTTCCCTTTTTGTCTCCCTTGTTCCGAATATACTTCAATATCCGGCGATCCGTACGCATACACATAGATTATTTCTACAAAATAATATCATATTATTAAATTAATAACAGGTATAATTAGTAAATTTACAATATTTTCTATTTTTAGCATTTTTACGTTTTCGTGAATGTACATATTCTGGAATCCCCCTCCCCCCCCCTCCTCGCAGTTCGCGAGTATACGAATGCCACGATTTAAAAATAAAATTAATGCGCATTTTGTAATCGACAGATACAGTAATACATACAGGACTTAACGGTGTCATAAAAGAATAGCGACGAGATTTCGCATCATAAAACGCCCGAGAGAATACGCATACAATTTCAATTGACCTAATGAAGAAACATGAGAGAAGATCGCTCTCATCAGGTCGGAGCCATTGCACAAATGGTTGATTAATATTTCTAAGGACGCTTATCGTAGCCAGATCGTAAGCGTCATAATCAGAATGCTGGATCTTCTATTTACATGGAACATTACAAAACTATTCTACAAGGACGACACTTTTTCGCGTCGTGTTTGATCGCTCGATCGTCCCATTTGCTATTGCCAGAAGCGCAAAACTTTTAGGAAAAAATATAATGGAAGTGTAGATAACTGAATAAAAATATTTCTGGAAATATTTTCTTCGCATGACTGAACGTTAAACTTTATTTTTCCTGGTTTATTTTCGCAGCGTAGCTACGAAGTTTTTTTAGTAATCTACAAATGATATATCGACAGCAAATATTTTTTTCCAAAATATTTGCAATTTTAGTTTTTAAATTAAAATGCAAACGTAAATCAATATGAAGGAACTATATCTAAGTTGGCCAACTTTTCAGGCATGGAATCTTTCGGATTCAGATACCCCGTGGCGCAACACTTTTACCTTCGCTACAATGCGAATGGACATCCGCCTTCAGCAAGACCGAGATCGATTCGCCGCCTCGACGCAACATATTCAAATTAATGTCCGGAGATCGGTATCCGAATAAAGAGTTACAAGAGGCAGGAAGAAGATCGTTACTCCTTCATCTTGCTTTTTCCGCAAATGTAAATGAACCTATCTGATAATTATACTTAAACAGACATCATATTCACTCACGTAAGTGTTTAACACGATGTAAAGCTGTACAGCTTTGGATATCGTAGATACTATTTACTTTATTATTTATCTCACATTTATTGTGTTTTGTTTTACTTTTCCAAAAATCTTTTTTTTTTTCATTTTTTTTAAAGATAATACATTATGATATGTTACATTACCAAGAGATTTATTTACTTAACTACAGCTTGTCTCAAGATTATCTTTAAAAATCTTAGTTAGGGCTAGACAGTTGCAAATGCACTTAAAATAATGCTGCAAGGGACGTGCGTTTAGATATTATCGCGCAAGATCCAAGTATTAAGTAATATTACTCATTATCAGTATAGTAATTTAACATACTGGACGATAATATCGCAAATCTCAACGTCTAACTGCAGTAAATCGTAAGTTGATTCTCTGTGACACTGCGAGAAAAAACTCCATATAAAATGAATAAAACTGGATCGATATATAATCTCTGAGTTTGTCATGCGACAGATTTGGAAATCCATCTGGGTAGAGAAGGCCAAGATTATTTATTTCTCTTGGAATAATATTGACTCGTGTCTACATTATACGCTGACTTAGTCCTTTTCTGAACAAAGTTAAAACTTGCGTAAACATTTCGCTGAGTGACAAATATGCAATATGCTTTTGTTAAACTTAAATATTGTTTAATTTTTTTTTTCATAGAAATTACTATTAATTTTTAGAAATATCATTTTATTATTTGATATTTTTTTTTTTGAGACCTAAATTTTTCGATGGAATTCTTTTGTATTCTTGTTTAGCATTGTTATGCGTTAATTGGTATCAAAACCAGAAAGCTATTGAAAGAGAAAATATTTAAAAAATCCTACATTGTTTATAAAAATGTAAATCATACGTTTTGGATATCGGACAAAGATGATATAAAAAAGTTTATCCATTCCTCAAAGCTGTTCTTTAAGCCTCTTTGCTGACAAAGATTTAAATAAATCTCGGCAGTTTTTTTTTTTCGACATTTGAACGAGTTATAGATGATTTCCATTGTACAGCTCGGGACATCTAGAATCGAGGCCGGTCCGATTCCGAACGTGGATCCCCTGTCTGTACAATTATCTTCGCGCTCTACTGGTGAGGCGGTAAAAGGTCGCGGTTGATGCAATCGGCCACGATATACTCTGCAGAGTACGTAGTTAGATTACGGCGTGTTGGCCAATTGCCAGAGCTCAATTAAGGCTTTTTAGTTTTACGAGCGCTTATCGCCCCCTCATAACGTCAAGTAGCGTGTGGATTATTGTTTAAATATGGACCGTTGACTCGATCGCGCGCGCACGTGCATTAAATGCTCTATCAATGTACTCATGTAAACGCACATATTTACATGACTAAACGTATGAGAAACGTCGACAATTACGATGATTTACCGTACGTTCCACAGAGAATAAGGAAAAGATACTAACAAGGTTTACCTCAGGGAAACATCAGACATCGATTTTTTTCAAATTATTTACAGTTGTTTCTTATGTCATACAATGAAGAAATCTGTCATTAATTTTAGCTTAAACTGAGTTTTGCAAAAAATTATAAAAACATTTTTTTTTATTTGTGTACAAGTACCTGATTTTATACATATTTAAAACAATATTTCTTAAGAATAAATCTACACTTTTTTTGAAGCTCGATATATGGAACGCTAAAATAATAGTTAAGTCAATAATAGTTAAGAAATAGTTCTATTTACAAAAAACTTTAAACACCTTTAAATTTGTGTAAAACCGGATATTTACATAAAATAAAATTTTTTTAATTGAAAGATTCAATTTGAGCAAATTAGTGATTATTAAATTTTTTCATATTTTGACATAAGAAATAATTGTAAAACTTGAGAAAATCGGCAATTAATATTCCCTAATGTTTACTTTGTGAGCAGTAAGAAATCTTCCTATGGAGAAAATGAACGCAAAATATTTGAACTGTTTTATTTTTTTAATTTAAATCATTTCGTTTGTTTTTCAAAGATCTCTCAAATTGGATCATTATGCCGCAAACAATACCTACATGCATATATTGCCTTAAAGATACTAAAGCTCAACTAATTTTTCATTTAACATTCTCGTGCTCAACGCATTTATCGCATATTAAGTGAACCAAAAGGTTAGGGCTTGCTAACCGGCTATTATAGTTAAGGATAAAATAATTTTTAGATAGAAAGATTATGATTTACATTCCTAGCGAAGGAATTATCGGTTTTAACCGGTATTTTACTACGTATTTATTTTTAAAGTTGAAGAATTGCTATGACAAGTAACATTAATCACATTAACATTTATATCGAGAACATCAATGCATATTTATTTTCTTCTCAGAAAAATATTTAACCGAGGAAACTATCTGGTATATTATTGCCATTACTTGCCATTACATTATTATTTAGATGATATACGGTAATATACTTTATAATACAGGATTACCAAATTACGGATTAATTCAATTCTGTGTATTTACGTAATTGAACCAAGAAACGGAATATTAATAATGATAATCCGACAGCTAAATCATACGTCTAAATGATATACTTTGCAATAGACCACGTGCCATTTCTCCGGCGAATGAATTACCGACCAAACGCTTTCACCGCGCCAGTACTTGTTGCATACCGATTCGGATCGCTGCTTCTTTTTAGCACTGATGACACGGTGTGTTACCGAATCTCGAGCAATCTCATTGCAGAGAAAAAAAAAAGAGATGCTAGAGGTCACGCGCGGATGAGGTAACAGCGCAAGGCAGCAATTAACCCCCATGATCATAGAATTGCTCTTTCTCGACCACTTTCGTTCAATACGGATACCAGACGATTCGTTTACTTTGCGTATCGAGAGGCGAAATAAGCCTGGTCCGCGCGTTAGCGCATTCCTTTTTGATTATACCTCGTGAATCTGAACGAGGTATATTTCACATACACACGAAGGTTCACGCCGCAGAGTTTAGTGCCGAATACGCCTATCTTATTCTCGGTCCATGGTAATCCAAGGCTGGGCATTCACGTCTTCTAACACATGAGAAACGTTTCGAGTGCTCGGTTTGCTCAATATATAAGCTAAATAGAGAAAGTTAGAGTAATAATAACATCGCTATATAACGAGTGAAGTTTTATTTATAATTGCAAAAATACAAAATAATTAGAAACGCATGGATTCTTACGGGCACGATCTTTTGTTT